GAACTATGTTCAATAATCTTGTAATAACTTTTAATGGAAAAAAACATGAAAACCAATATATGTATGTATATGCATGACTAGGGCATTGCGCTGTACACCAGAGATTGACATATTGTAGTTGACTGTACTTCAATTAAAAATTTTTTTAAATTGTTAAAAAAATTGGAAAAAAGAACCACAATGAGGAATCACTTCACACCAGTCAGAATGGCCATCATTAACAAGTCTACAAATAATAAACTCTGGAGAGGGTGTAGAGAAAAGGGAAACCTCCTACACTGTTGGTGGGAATGTAAATTGGTGCAGCCACTATGGAGGATCCTTTAAAAATTGAAAATAGAACTACTATATGATCCAGCAATCTCACTTCTTGGCATACATCCAGAAAAGATGAAAACTCTAATTCAAAAAGATACATGAACCCCAATGTTCAAGCAGAACTATTTACAATAGCCAAGACATGGAAGCAACCTAAGTGTCCATCAACAGATGAATGGATAAAGAAGATGTGGCATATACATATACAATGGACTATTACTCAGCCTTAAAAAAAGAATGAAATATTGCCATTTGCAGCAACATGGATGGACCTAGAGATTATCATACTGAGTGAAGTAACTCAAAGACAACTGTTACATGGTACCACTTATATGTAGAACCTAAAAAATTACACAAATGAATTTATTTACAAAACAAACACACAGACAGAAAACAAACATGGTTACCAAAGGGGAAAGAGGGTGGGGAGGGATAAATTAGGAGTATGGGATTAACAGATACACACCACTATATATAAAACAGATAAACAACAAGGATTTATTGTATAGCACTGGGAACTGTATTCAATATCTTGTAATAACCCATAATGATGAAAATATATATATATGTCTGAATCACTTTGCTGTACACCTGAAACTAACGCAAATTATAAATCAACTGTACTTCAATTTAAAATTTAAAATAATTACTTAATTAAACCGAGCTCTAAACTAAAAATAAGGGTCCGGTTTCCCCTGTGTCAATCCCTGGTCTGTTAGGGCAACGTCTTGCCCTCAAAACTTCCACTGTCCAGTTTGGAGAGAAAATGTTAAGTGCATACATGACTGTGTCACAAGGTAATCGAAGGTAAACGTCCCGGAGACTCCAAATGCCGAGCATCTGCCTCCTACACAGTATTGCAAACTCCGGCGCGGGTCACAACCCACCCGTCACAGACACAAGCGGAGCTCAACCCCCAAGTTAAATGACCGTGGGTCTGAGCAGGACGTGTGCGCTCCGCAAGCTGAGAGGGGCGGAGCCCGGATACTGACACGGGGCTCCTCCTACACTCTAGCTCCGCCTCCCTCTCTGAGTGGCTGCTAGGCCAACTTCCCATTGGCCGCCCGCTAGAAGGCAGATTTCCGGTTTGCGCATCGGGCCGTGGAACGCGAAGGCGGCCATGGTGCGGTTCAAACACAGGTAAGCAGCTTCTTGCCCAGTCCCGGCGGCCCCGGCCCCAACCCCGACCCCGCCTTCATCTCCCTCTCGCCCGCCGCAGGTACCTGCTCTGCGAAGTGGTGTCTGACGACCCCCGCTGCCGCCTGAGTCTGGAGGACCGAGTGCTGGGCTGCCTGGTACGGGACACGATCGCCCGCGTGCACGGCACTTTCGGCGCGGCTGCGTGCTCCATCGGCTTCGCAGGTGCGAGGGTGCCGTGGAAATGGGCAGCGCGGGGGCCAAAGGGCGGGGAGAGAAGGAAGGGGCACGAGCTGTCAAGCCCTGTGCATCATCCCCTGTAAAATGTCGTCCTCTTTAGGCGTCTCGGACCCTGAGCCCGAGGTCTGGGCGTGTCCAAAGTTAGGTGGAGAGCTGAGAGCAGCAGGCAATGGTACTTTGGGCAAGAATCCCCTGTACCTGTTTGACATGTGTATATTGGGGATTGTGATTGATTTAATAGGATGGTGAGAGTCAAATGAGGTTAGCCCTGTATAGTTCTGAGTAAATTATTTGCCTGGTTACATTGACATCATGTGGAAAAAATAGTCAAAATTACTCCTGAAAATTAAAAACAAAAAGGTATGTGTGTATATAAACGCTGAAGGCGGCCCTCTCGACAGCCACACTATCTAAATTCATTCCCTCTTCTACCATATGCTGGAAACTGAATCCTGGAGGAGACAGTGCGCACAGGCACAACTCTCCTACATCAGGTGAGACTCAGCTGGCTGCTACAAGAACCTACGTAGCCCAGATGCAGAACGATTTGTTTTTCAGTCAAGTGTATTGACTAGTCAGTGGGTTAGAAGAGCATTTTAAACTCTAAATTTATTCATCAGTTCTGAGCGGCTTGCAAGGCACTGGATGTTTATCCCTCTTCCATAAATAAAGGTCTTTGGTAAATTTTGTTCTGCCTTCAGGAATCAAATTTTACTCAGTGATGCATCCCAAGTCCCACAGCCTTCAACAGTCTCTGGCACATACCTCTCAGTTGCCCTAAGGTTTTAAATCTTCTGGGAATCCAAAGTTTCCCAAAATGATCTTTTTTTTTTTCCTCACTGTAGTGCGATACCTCAATGCCTATACCGGAGTAGTGCTACTTCGATGCCGAAAGGAATTCTACCGACTTGTATGGTCAGCTCTTCCCTTCATCACATGCTTGGAGAACAAAGGACAGCGTTACCCGTGTTTCCTCAACACCTTACATGTCGGAGGTAGGGGTGCATGTGATGTGGCCACTGGTTTCCAGTGGGTAACAGGTTCAGAGTTCAGTCTCTAGTAGTGGGTAGGACTTCCTGCTCTCCTCCCAAGAATCCCAAGAACAAGATACCTTTCCTTAGCTCTGAATGACTTTGAGGCAGATACCTTTCACAAGCTGACCACAAAGCTCTTTCATGTGCCAGGTACAATTAGAACATGTCAGAAGTTCCTGATTCAGTACAACAGGAGACAGCTGTTGATCTTGTTGCAGAACTGCACTGATGAAGGTGAGCCACACTAGCCCAGTACCTACTGAGCACTGCCTGCCTCCTCCTCCCGCTGAATGAGAGGTCACTCCGAAAGACGTCTTTAATCACCCGTGTTCTTTCTCCAGGAGAGCGGGAAGCTATCCAGAAGTCTGTCACAAGAAGCTGTTTCCTGGAGGAGGAATCGGCTGGGGAGGAGCTTTCAGATAGTGGTGGTGAGGAGGCTGCTGGGGCAATGGAGTGAACCTCTGCAGGCTGCACTGTGCCCAAGCCTCGGGGTCCACTTCTTGGAACAGGACATTCTGGAAGGCAGCAGCATCTTTTACAATTCTCAAACTGAAGGACTAGTGACCAGGAGTCAAGTTACCAGTTCAGAGAGGGCTTATTTGCTTAAAACTAACTGAAGACACCTTTACCCACCATTGCCTGGTTAAGTGGTTCTGCAGGTTGTGAACCCCCTATAGTTATAGACATCTTTGTATCTATTTGCCTGGCTGAGAGCAGGTTTAATAAATGTATTTGGCTTCTGTAGCATTTAGCCTGCATATGAATGAAGTTCATGCTTGGCCAAGTCTACTCCTAGCCTTGGTGAAAAGACCGGCTCCCTATGTGGTACTAGATGCACAGCCTCACAGTTGAGACCCTGTACCCCCAGCCCCTGGGACTGGCCCTAAGCCAGCCAGATTTTTTACAGTAGTAGCAGTTTTAGTGAGACACAGCAGCTAAACTGGCACAGATCTGTAGCTGGTCTCAATACTTACCCATTCGGCCTTAAAAATACTGGCTACCTCGCCAATATTTAATCAGGTAACCTGACAAAAAAATGCAGTTCTTGCACTCCTGAGTCGGGAAAAAAACTACCCTCACCTGACCTCATTATTACACAGCCAAGCAGCAGCCGCCAGCCTGTGGCAGTTTTCTGCAGTTCTACCCTCCCCTGCTGCCTTCTACTGGCCTGGCACCTGAGGCAGGCGAGACTGCCATATCCACAGGAATCAGGAGGGACCAGAGACTTGGGATCAGTTTTGATCTGCTACTTAAAGTAAAAGACATTTTGAGTATCAATTTTCTCCTTAAAAAAATGGATGTCACTCAAAGTCTCTTTCTCTTACACATTCAACAAAGATTTGTAATTTTTGCTTCATGTGCCCCCTCATCTACCAAGGAGAGTTCCTGACCCAGGACTTCTGAACCTCTTCCCTTTAAGAATGGCAAGTTAGAGCGAAGCCCAGCTTGAGAACCCTTTAGGCCTGACACTAGGAAAGGCATTACTCCATGGGAGCAGAGTTCCTCAAGCTCACGAAAGCTGTTACTTTAACTTAAAGAACTGTACATCTAGCTGACCTATAATAATCTTAAAGAAACCAGAAAGCTCACAATGCTTGTGCAAGTGATTTATTGCAACTATTTGCCTTCATATTCTATTACACCTAGAGGTCACTTTATTAAGCAACAAAATAACTCACATCACTCAAATTCAGCTCAAACCAATGCATAAAACTACTCTAGAAAACAGGGAGGCAGTGGGCAACCCACACTGCTCTTTGAACCTGTCCTGCTCTGCCTCCAGGTGTGACAGACTCCTCTGTTCCTATAATTCAGGCCACTGTCTCTTGAAACAAGCTTGATCTAAAGGTTGCCAGGGCTTCCTTAGTCAGTGACAGTTACAGCTTTCCTTGCCAAACAGAAGCCACATTAGGAGGCAGAGGCAGAACTGTCCACCATCACACATGCTAGTGCAACCCAGATCTGACACCACAGCCTGGCTTTTGTCAGAAGAAAAACTGCAATTCAGGCTGGGTGTCCTAAATCCATTTTATTCCCATCCCTGTTTCTTTAACAAGAGAATGGAACAGATAGAAAAGATCCAACTGTGTTTAAAAGACACGCCAATAAGGTGTGCTGAAAGCGTGATGCTCTCACACATGATGTCACAGCAGAGCACTGAACACTCTAGGCTGGGCTGGGCTGCTCCAAGGGATGCTGGAAGGACTCAAACTTACTCTGAGTTGAGAAAAACTAATTACACGTGGGTCAGAAAGACTAACCTGACAACAAACTAAAAACCTTGGCAGGAAGAGATCTCTTGTGCGTGTCAATACTTTATTTTGGTGTAAAGATGGGAAGCTGGAAAATACACTGTATTTAAAATTTTCTTGGTTCCCCCTCACATTGTGGAAACCCCCTCCCCCCAGAGCTAATCTGTTCAAACTCAAATACTTAAAAATTACAGCAGCAGAACAAAAGCGCACAAAAAAAGAAAACCAGATGGAGAAGGTAGCCTGGGCCAGTAGTGTCACTTAGTGTGGACGACTGAGGTGCTGAACAGGAGCTTCTGTTTCTGTTTTTTCCTTTTCTTTCCTCCTTTCTCTTCTAAACAGAAAACAGAAAGAGCTTAGCTTAGAATGCCATCCTCTTGTCTCCCGGCCAGTTTTCATTACTGAGAGTCAGAGGCAGTTAGGAGGGCATGCTCTGGAGCTGGACTGTCTGGATTCAGATACCAGTCCTTCCATACCCAGAGCCTCTGTCTGCAGGCACGGCACTTACATCCCTAGACCAGTTTCTTGTCTGTGATGTGAGTTACACCCATTTTAATACGGGTGTTGGGAGAATAAAATTAGCACAATGCTAGGCACACAGGAAGCACACCATCAACGTCAGTGTTGTTCCCACCTAGTCACGAACACCAGAGTGGGGTGGGCCTCAAGCCTATCTCCACCCATTAGCCACCCTCACCAACTCAGGATTCTTAAATCTACCCTCCACCACTGTGTCTTAAGACGGTTTAAAAAGAACTCCTCAGAATTTCACATCAAGGCCTCAAGAATTTACCTAGGGTGGCAAAAGGGTGCTATATCTGACAATATGAGTTGACACTAGAATGTGAACCAAGAGGGTCGGAGGGAAAAGTGCCGACTGATGAGTGACATCTGCCACTGGACCCAGGAGGGAATGACACCTGAGCTGAGCACCCCACTTCTGTGCCTTTACCAGAGAGGGGATCTGAAGTAGCTGGCGTGTCCAGTTTCATGAAGGCTGCTTCAATAGCTTGGCTGAAGGAATTCTGGAAACTGGGCACAGGAACACGGTCTGAGTTATCACTCTCCCCATCGCTGTCCGCAGGGGCAGGAGGAACTAAGCTGTTTTCATCTAGAAAAATACCAGCGTTAAAATTGCAGAAATAACTCCGGAGCCTTTTACTTTCTGAAAGGGGCCAAATTTCCCGTTAACCAGAAGGCCATTCTCACCTTTCTTTGGAGCAGTTTTGGGCCACACATCTGCTTTTGCTTTTCCAACTCTCAACATCTGCCAAGGAGGGAAAGAGGGGGAAAAAGAATTTAAGTAAATGACCCTTTTCTTTTCCAGACTTCTGCCTTGACATTAGCTGCTTAGAGAGACAAAGAATCAACTACCACCTCTGCAAAAAAGATTTTCTAGATACTTCTCTCCTTAACACATTGTTTTGGTCATGTCCTCGACATCCTGACCAATGGAACTGGCAGTGAAACCCACAAAGTGGGAAACCAGAGCTGTTTCGTTCCTCAGGAAACAGGTAAAGAATATTGCAAAGGCAGCACAAGAGATTCATACTCAGATTCTCAAGATGGGAATCTTGTCTTTGTGTCATTCCCTGCTTCTGACAGGGCTTTCCTACTGTTCTTGAGACCCCTAAAATCATCAACCTCTTGGAATAAGGAGTGTGCAGGACCCTCCAATTTTAAAACAAACCAGCTAGCTATCAAATCTCAGCTATTCAAGGCCATGAAAAGCAACTTAACTTTACCCTGAAACTGCTCCACAGCCCTCGTAATTTACTTTTTAGTCTTTGCTTTTCCAATAGATCCTTAATTATTAACTTTTAGATCCAGCCATAGCCTAGATTCCAGCAAGTACACAATAAAATGAGAACAATCTCTCCTGCCCCTGAGTGAGTTTTTTCATCTCACTTGGCCAAGGCCGGCTTTGTAACTGCCAAGGGCCACGCTAAGTCCCACTTGCCAGACACAAGAGGCCACTGAGAGCCTGGGGAATTTTATTCCTGGAAAAACACCAAGAGACAAGCCCCACAAGATTCCAGTAGGAATGCCTGTCACAGTATGTGTCCCAAAGTGAGGCTTCAATGTTACACAAGATGAGTTCAAATAGCAGATGTTGATTTCACTGACAACCATTCTTCACTGTGCACCACTTTGACGATCTGCTCCTTTGGTCCCTGGGAGTTTGGGGTCTAATAGTATGACATCCGAATCACCTTACTCTTAGAAGTTCATTAAAATACATCACCTGAGCTTTATTCTTGCCAAAAATGTTTAAACGTTTAACCTGAATCCACTTATAAAGAAACAACAAGACAAATCCAAACTATAGGACAATCTATAAAATAACTGGGCCGGGTGCTTCAAAAATATCCATGCCACAGGCGAAAAAACAAACAGAAGCCTGAGAAACTGTTATGTTTGTTTTCTGGGTGTTTTGTTTTGTTTTAGGGGTGAGGTAATTAGGTTTTTTATTTATTTAATGGAGATACTGGGGATTGAACTCAGGACTTTGTGCCTAGCATGCACTCTACCACTGAGCTGTACCTCGACCCCTTGTTGGAACTGTTATGGGTCAAAGGAAACTGAAGAGGTGACAAACTAAATGCAGATAATAATCTTTGATTAGACTGACTGAAAAGAATACAGGACACTGAGACAAATGGGAAAACAGAAATATTTGCTTAGATAATATTAAATCAGGTAATGTCTTTGATGTGATACCGATATTTGTGGTTATATAGGAGAATGTCATTTTGGAGGAATGTATTTTCCAAGAATTTAGTGGTGAAGCGTCATTCATGAGGTCTGTAACTTATCTTCAACGCAGAAAAGAGAGAAAGTAAATACAGCAAAATAGTAACAACTGGTGAATCTAGGTGAAGGATATGAGTGTTCATTATACTATTCTTTCAACCTTTTAAGTTTGACGTTTTTAAAAATATAAAGTTGAAAAAAGCAATGGCAGTAAAACCTAGCTAAAAAAAAAAAAACAACCTAGGCATTGACCTAATTCCTGGGAACCACTTGCTTATAACCCCTGAAGCCTAGCAGTTCATTTTCAGGATTGCTCACAATTATTTCATCCTCCTTGACTTCAAGGACTCTCCTCACCAAAGTTCAATTCCTGCTTACTTCTCAGCACAAACTGCCATTTGTATGTGAGAAACATCCATAGCAACTGCTGTAAAGAACTGTTAAGTTAATGATTCCAAACTAGCCCCAAAGAAGTTAACACCAACTTCTTATGAGGGTGCTTGTCAAGCTGTCTGTCCATCTTCCTCAGTTATCTGAATGCAGGAATGCTGAGTGTTTGCTTGTTGTTTTAAAGATTAATAGTGATTTGACATCAAATCTCACTAGCCTAGTTTCCCTCCAACCTAGCTCCCCAAGAAAGCTGGTTTGGCTAGTTACCAGATAACCAAGACAACCTTTCCCTTCCCAAAGTGAAGAGGAATGGATTATTGTATGTAACAGATACCACCTGAATCAGAGATCCTAGAACCCAGGGACCAGTTAAAGTTGACTGACCTATTCTCAGCCCCTAGAACGGTGCTCAGTTCACAAGTATCTAATGATGTGTTAAATAATTAAAACTCTGATTCTCCCTCAGCTACTCTTGGCTTCTTTCCTTGATAAGTCTACAGCAATATCTGAGACTAAATCCATGAGCTTCCCTCTTAAAAAAGAATTCTGGGATTATTAAGACTCAGTACAACATTAGCCTGTAAGTCTCCCCATCTCCGACAGGGATTTCCAGAAAGAACAAGTAGCAGAGTTCACGTTAAATACCCTTGGGCTGCTTCACAAGCAAAGGATTTACCTGGGCAAAGGAAGGGAAGGGAGAGTCTTCTTCCAGACTCCCAACGCAGAATGAGGGACTGCCCTGACTGGCAGTAGGTGACAGAGGGGTCAGCAGAAAGTCTGAAAGGAAACCAGAAACCTGATTATACAAGTCAAGTTCCAAAGAGGTACTGTCCTATTAATAAGAGAAGAGATGAACCCTGAATCAAGTCTGGGTAATTACCAACCCTGCCTCACAAAGCTAACCCTGGTCCAACTTCCACTCTGCCATGTTCTTATAAACCAAGAACATGGCCTA